CATTCCTGAATGCCCTTGCTGAGCCATGGGGGTTTCTGAGCACTCTTACCCCCCTTGCTTCTCTGAGGGACTGTTACCCTTTGGGCCTGGAGGATTGCCCCCCTTAAGGTACAACCATCCCTCATGGACTCCCATCTCCTCTACCTTCTGGGCCCTCAGTGCCTCCCCCACTAATGTCCGAAGCTCATTGAAGTTGGCCCTTCTGAAGTCAAGGGCTTTAGTCTTGCTATAGGCCCTTGACACCCTGTGCTGGATAGTGAATTCCAGCAGGTGATGATTGCTATTGTCCAGGTGGTCAAGGACCTGCAGTGTCCCCTCACCAGGTCATCCCCAGTGGTAAGAGGTGCATAAACAGGGATGGGGGGGAGGGGAGAGTGGCTGTAGGAGGCCTTTAATTTTGATCACAGATTTGGGGCGTTTTATTAGAGAATTTGCTTGCTTTTTTGGTTTTTTTTTATCAGGGAAAACCACGATCCCTGATTATAACATAGGGCAGGAGTCAACAACATAAGGTCTGTAGGCCAGATCTAGCCGATAGACCCACTGGATCTGGCCAACAGAGCTGGAAGGCTTTGCCTCTGCCCATGCCTACACTGGGTCTGAGGAGTGACCCAGTGCAGTGAAGCACCTGTACCAGTACCACTGCTTCCTCCCCCACCATCCCCCAAGCTGGGTGCAAATATAGCTTTCAGCCAGCGGGGAGTTGCAGCTCCTGGCTGCCTAGCCCTGGCCCAGCTCCCCCCTGCCTGTAAGCTGCACTCATGCCCCAGCCAGGGAGCAGGAGGCTGGGAGAAGTGGCAGTTGCACCCTGATGTGGGTGCTCTATCATATGCCCCCACATTGCTGATGCAGACTGCTGTCACATGACAGATCAGAGCCAGATTGCTCCGGTCCATGGCTTGAAAAGTTTGCCAACTACTGATACAGGGTATAGAAATCACAGCAGGGAAAAACTTCAACTCATGCATCTTTAACCTGTGTGGTATTCCTGCAGGCAAAGGTCTGCAGTTCAGAGTAATTTTTTGTCCTCCCCCCTCCTCCTGTATGACTTCCATATTTTAACTTTCATGAAGCATGCGACTGTGATCCTGAGGGTTCTCGCGCTCTGCAGTGCAAGGAGGATGGTCGCTGTGCGTGTAAGGAAGGCTTTGTGGGGAACCGGTGTAACCAGTGTGAAGAGAACTATTTCTACAATCGGTCTTGGCCTGGCTGTCAGGAGTGCCCTGCATGCTACAGGCTAGTGAAAGATAAGGTAAGACCTGCACTGTACTCCTCTGATTTTGTTCCCAAGTACCGTTGCAGGCAGAGGCACATTGAGTAGCATATGATGGAGTCTCAGCCCTCAAGAAGGTACAAAGGAGATGGGCAAAAACCTATGTACTTTTGAGCAGAGACTTTTCACATAACATCAGAGTGACACCTACTGGATGCTGAAGCTTGTGACTGATACTGTGCCTCCGCTCTTTTTATTGACAAGGAAAGCTGTTGATATGCAACCACTTCTTCCCTTTGTTTAGGTGGTGGAACAAAGAGAGAAGTTGCAAGAACTGGAAAATCTTATAGCAAACCTAGGTACAGGAGAAGAAACTGTGACAGACCAGGCCTTTGAGGACAGGCTAAAGGAGGTAGAGAGAGATGTCATGGACTTGCTCGAAGATGCACAGAGCAGCAAAGGTAGGTTGATATGATCCAGTGGTGACTATCTGGGGCTGGCTGTTTCCTGAATTATTTTATTTCTTTCATGGTGCATAGCTTCATTTGAATCTGATAACCTGCTTTGGGAGAGCCAAGCATCTGTATGTGCAAATGCATTGGACTAGGTGAATATTGATGTCCCTTCCAGCCCTATGATAAAGCATTTGAAAAGGACATGCATTGGCGTTCAGATGGTGATGGTTGTACTTTGTGGAAAGCTGTAAGCATTTGCAGGAATAAGACACAAAAAATAAGGGGACCTTTTTCAAATGATAGAGAGGACAAGGTGCAGGACTCATTCAGAGATTGAGAATAACTTAAAGGGGCTTTACTCAGTTATTTACTATGAAAATGTTTGTTCCTGTTTCCAAAACATGCTCGTACTCAGAAGTGCATGTCTGTTTATAGCACTTGCCAGTAGCAAATGCAGTTGTACATTGCTCTTAACTCTTTAAAGACCATTCTTTGGGCTAAAGCATTCTTTGTTTGGTCATAGCCTTAAAATGTATGGGTTTGTTGCCTTGGGTTTTACTTTCTAATGCTCTGGTCTGCATAGGTTCTTACACTGCCTCTTCACCATAACTTGAGTAGTTTCCAGTAACATGACCAACTTGTATTTTTAAATGTAAATGCTGATGTTGCAACTGTTAATTCTCTTGGATTATGGTGTATGCATGAGGGCCACCCAGATCTTTGGAGGAATGGAAGCTGCCCAGACCTTGTTCTCCCTTTAGGCCACTGAGACAGAATCCAAAGACCAGACTGAGTCCAGATGTTTGGTGCCTGCATGGCTGTAGTTATATAAATGTCTGGGAATTGAACCCAGGTCTCCAGTGTGGTAGACAAGAATTTTACCACTGAACCACAGGGAACTCCATAAATGCTGAAATGCATTTATTAAAGAAAGCTACAGTGAAATAAGAGTGCCTTACCTTTAGAGCACCAGGTGGGTGAGTTTGTGGTGGCTCTTAGTTCTGGTAGGAGTTTATTCCATAATCTAAGACTATCTCCTGCACAGAGAGCTTTACTTTTGTGATGGAAAGTTCTTTTGTACCCGAGGAACAGTTGATACCCGAGGTCTTCATTCCAAAACATTGCTGTCTTTTAGAGTTTACTGTAGTGTTTTCTAATGACTGATAGGTTCATGTCCAGGTGTATTTAACTAGCTTCGTCTACACATGGGGCAACAAAGGCCCATGTAAACGTAGATCTCTCTCAGCATGGGACCGTCTCCTAGCCAAGCAGTGAAGATAGCACTTACGAGCAATACTTTCTGCTATATGAGAACTTGGTGTCAGTGAGGAATCCAGGAACGCTTCTAATCTACAAATTGAATTGACGAAATGTGATGCTTCTTTCAAACAAAAAGGAAAATGTACCATGGCTACAATTTGAGAGTGCTAAGCTCTTTCTTGTGGTTCAGTTTCAACCAGCAGCTATTTTGCATGAGCTCTTGTCAAAGCTGGCCTATCTTCATGGTAGTAATGTCACATGTATAAATATAAGTCAGCATTTGAGTTCATGCTATTCAAGAAGCTTTCCTGAATTTTTTTTCAGTGAAATAAAATAAAAAACTCTGAGTACATGGTGCTGGGTGCTGTTTGGTGCTGTAGGCATGACACTACATGGTTTGCCACCTTGAATACCTCTGCAGGATCCAACATGGCAGCTTCTGTGGATACTGATATGAAGGTTCTTGACCAATAATACATCCACTCCATAAGAGTAGTTGTCTTTGGTACCAATGGTAGAAGACCAAAGGCTGAAAAAGCAGTTGGAAATAAAGTGTTGATCCCCTTCTCCGCCCTCTGCCCTTCTGGTTCACGGTGTCATAAAATCTAGAAGATTTGTGTGGGCAAAGGGGGGGAAAGGACTGTTTCAGAGACCAGTAAACAAAATGGGAAGTTTATTTTAAAAGATTCAAACAAAAGTTAATTGAACAGGTTATGGCATGTGTTAGGAGGTCAGACAAGATTTTGAAGCTTGAAGGGATTGTCTGATCTTTTATGAATCAACAGTGGAGGCAAATGTATAATAACAGTTCACAAGATGTTTGGCTTATCTTGTGGATGGAGTGCCACTGTCCTTTAACAGGCTTTGGAAATTGATGGAGTCCTGTCACAGTCACGATCTCTGGGATTTTGGAGTTTATGCTGTGGGTTGAGGCATTTGAATGGTAGTGACTGGAGTGTACCATCCTTCATTTTTGACACCTAATCTGGGGTCAGGTTTAGAAAAAGGTTGGCTACATACGATGGACAACAGGTGCCCTATGAAAGTTCTAGGAAAGCCAGTGTAGACAATGAGGTTTTGGCCTTTCTCACCTACAGCTTTATTGACTTGTGTTGAAATCTCTCAAGGCAATAGCTCTGGGATAATGTCTTGCAATTGCCGACAAGATAGCAGCGACCTCCTTTACGAGCACTTTTTTGAGGGAGTTTTTGGTTTGTGTAAATAAGCATAAAATCAGTTAACTTTCACTCTGGTTTCTGTTGTTAAATGCATGAATTCAAATGGGAATGTCTTACCAGAGTCGCCTCTTTCGACTTAGTGTTTGAAGGGAAGGATGTTGTACCTTTCCATCCTGTTTTTGTTTGTGATCGACAAAGTTACCTGAGTTAATGGGGCAGCTTAGGACCAGGCTGATGGTGTCCTCCACTCAAAGCTCTAGTGTAAGATAGGGGGTGTCTCAAACTCTTTATTGCTGATATGCATTATATATTTTTGTGTTGATGCGCATCTTGCACTGGTTGGCATTGGTTTTAGCTCAGGCAACTTTGCATCACTTGCTTCAGGTCCGGTTCAGTAAATAAGTAGTGTGTGTCTGGTATCCAGTTTTTATATCCTCTCTGCTCTTTCTTTGAGCAGTTCTTCCCACTTTGGTTAGCGATAGGTGACGTAGGTAAGATTCGAAGGGGCTTGGAGTCTAAAGTCCCTTGCTTTTGCAGACAAACCTCTTCTTTATAATCATACTCATAAACTTACTAGAAGTAGTGAATTGTCATGAGATGCCGGGAAGGTTTTCCAGTTTGCCTGCTGCTGTGAGTAAAATACACCATGGGCTCTTTTGGCACTAAGACCTGAGGTAAGTCCTGGGAATTGGCTGAATTGGAATTATAATGTTCCTGGAGGAGTGACTGATGCGTTGAAGTTATGTGGGCATAACAACAGCTATAATACTGCATTGGCACTGTGTTGAAGAAAACCCCAAAAGACAGGGTTTCCGTGGTATGGGACATTCAGTTCACTGAAATAAAGTTGTCTAGTATTATGATACCTCAGCTGCTCTTGCCTGGTTTAACGATGGTTAGGAAGGGAGATAGAGACACGGCCATAAATTATTATATACTTACATCTTTGCAAAGGCTGGAGAAGTTGGGGATATTGCTCATTAGAGAATGCAAGCCTTTTGATATCATTTGGTGGTGAAAAGTGGGGCACTATGTGGGCACTGGAGGAGAAGAGGCGTTATAACTTTATTTCCAGAGCTTAGAAAAAATCTTTGTTCTTTAAATAAATTCAGAAATGAGCAGTGTCCCTATCTCCTGCAGTTTAGTCCCTGCTGAGGAGAGGGGATGGCTGAAGGCAGCTCCTAAAGCCATTCCTTCCCTCCTCAGCAGGGCCATTTAAGGGGATTAGGTTCCCAGTTGGTGGTAAGCAGGGCGACTGGTACAAACTAGGTTTTAAACCCTTCTTAAAGTTTGATCGTTCAAAAATTGAAATTAACTTAAGCCCAGGTTTTTGGTTTTGCTTTGTTTTGTTTTTACAATGATTTGCACACGAGTAGTTCCACAGAGTTAACTGGGACTACATGACATGCATGCATAAATGACTTTGGTTAGTGTTGATATGATCAAGACTTGTTCACTACCTTCATTGTTCTTTAGTCCTGTATATTAAAAAACATCATGTTTTTGTCTTCAGCTTTTTGTCACTCCTTTAAACAAAAGCAATAGGAATGAAGTCAGTCATGTTCCCTTTGAAGTCTCTTAAATTATTTTTGGTCTTATTTAAGGCTCTGATTCTAAAATGCCTTAGTATACTGAGTAAGTATTGGGATTTTTGCTCCCCCCACCATGCCTTTTATTTTCTTTAATACAAAAAAGAGAAATATCAAATTACATGCACCGAACCTCACCTGAATTTCTGATTATGGTGATGATTTGAACACATTGTGCACAATGCAGCATTTTCTACCTACAATTAAATACGTAGTTTCATAAACGTTCAATGTTCAAATTAAAACCTACCCATCATGTATCCTGGCCAAAGCAACATTGCTATAAAAAAATTACCTCTTGTATTCTGTTTTATAATTGATTTTTTTTCAACCTCAGTGTATTGCTGTCAATTTAATTTCCTTCTACGCATAGAATAAACACTTAGGTTTAGTAAAGCTAAGGGTAGGTAGTAGGTTAACAAAACCCTAGTTAAGTTAACTTTTTCCTTCCCTACTATGCCTTGGTGTCCACAAGATCAACAACTGTTCCAAGAAGTCTAGCTGCATCTTAACTATACAACCCCCACAAAAGCCAAAACAGGTAGAAATGATGACTTCTATACATGGAAGAACTCACTTCTACCAGCACTGTCTGCCCATCTCTGTGCCAGAGGGACTTCAGGATAGAGAAGTGACCAGACTGGTGAATCTGATAATATGTAGATCCACAGGTTGATACTCCTTCTTCCCATGGAGTAGAAATGCAAGCATCAGAGGCTGCTGCATTCTTGGATGTGACTAACTCTCCATTTCCCCAGGTTGGATTTCTTGTATGTGCTGGGGCACAAGAGCAGTGCACAGCTCACTATTTTGTTTGTGGACTGTTCATAGGATTTAATCATAATAGAATATATGAAACAAATGTTTTGCACGCCATATGTAATCATTTGAAGTGCAGTTGTGCTGCCTTTTCGGTCCAGATCTTATGTTCAGAGTTCTGTTTTACCTCTGGCATGGGCATAGGCAACTGGTGGGGGTGGGGAGGCATGTTCCCCTCCCTGACAGGGCTGTCCATGCCTGCACCAGCTTCTGTGGGTGTTCACCAGCCCCGTCCCCACTGTTTATACCACCGGCAGCTTCTGCAGGTGGCCCCCCAGACTCAGGAGGCACCAGTCACCCATGTGCGTGGGCAATGTCCTCCCAGTGTCTGAAACCTAGCAGGAGCTTTAGCAGTTAATGACATCTTCATTCCTTGCTTTTTATGTGCATTCTAATAATGACTTTGATCTTAAACTGATTTCCCATCTTATTAAAAGGTTTTGCCATTCCCTTTTCAACAAGGTATTTATTTACTAACATGTTACCAATAGTAGGAAGTTCCTGCTTATTCCTCCAGCATCAGTGCCCAGTGTAATTAATTTTGCTTCCTCCAATTTGTCACTTGTCTCAGATGTGGATCAAGATCTGATGGATCGTCTTAGACACATTAACAGCACTCTGGCAAGCCAGCTCGACAGATTACGGAACATCCAGAACACAGTGCGAGAAACAGATGGCCTTGCTAAGCAAGCCCGTGAACAAGTGCAGGATACTGAGGACCTGATTGAAATAGCTTCCAGTATGCTAGAGAAGGCACAAATGGCAGTTGCCAATGTGGTGAGTCCTCTGTAAAGGCCAAATGGCTTGTTACGTGTCACTTCTTTCAGTCCTGGCAGTATAATGCACTGTTTTCAGTTCCTGATTGCATTTCTCTTCCCAGCGCTAAGCCTGGGAGTTTAGTATCCTAGAGTGTCTCATGAATCTGGGGATATTTAATTTAAGAAGTGTCAAACTAAAAAAGAAAAAGTATTACTGATTTATAGGGAAATTTTCATGGATTGAGTATGGTATTTTAATAATTCACTTTTTTTCTTTAATGTTGCTCGAAGCCTGTATATGTTTGTACATGGGGGGGGGTGGTATTTTTTTTGTCTTCCCTTGAATGCTGGTTTGCATATATTGCTGCATTCATAAAGAGCCCTCAGGGGCCTCTTTAGCTAACCTTAACTTTAGTTAACCCTACCCCCAGTCTCTCAGGCACTATAAATCAAATCTCAAAGGATTTCTTGTCAGGAAAAAAACAAACAACCCATCCAAAGAACAAATGGGCAAACTAATGCTGGAAAAGTTAAAATAGGTCACATTTTACATATGCAGACTATGGCTATGAATATTTACAACTGTCAATGAATAAAAGATGAAAAAGCAACTTCTGAAAATATATTTGATTTTGTTTTCAGTCCATTAGCCCAACAGAGACAAGCGGTGACTCTAACAACATGACTATCTTGGCAGGAGAGGCCCGTGAATTGGCTGAACGGTAAGACCTAGTATGCTAGGACATAGCACCGATGGGAGAACGCACCACTCTTTTTTGCAGCAGCAGCGAGGGCTGTATTGATTTGTTGGTTGGGAAATAGTAGACTAAATGTAGTTTGATTGAAAAATTGCTTTCCCTCCCCCAATATGAAGTTGCTGCTGTTCAGTAACACCAGTGGTGTATTGTGTTATGGAGTATGCAGATTTCTGGGCTGCACATCTGTATTGAAGAGGAGGGCAGCCTCTGGTATACAACCACAGTGCTGCAGGAGTGCAGACTCTTAGCAGGACCCTTCAGCTGCCATTGTAGATTCACTTGACATGTCTTTGTTTGCAGAGAGACCATTTAAAGCAGTACCTCTTTGCAAATGCCCTAATCATGTAGGGCTGGAAGGGGAAAGCGAGCAAGATAAGAATAAAAATGTTGAATCCAGAATAGGAAGCTGCTGGTTACTAATTTTAATGGAATTATTTTTCCCTTCTAATGTTCAGACACAAGCAAGAAGCTGATGAGATTGTGCGTGTAGCCAAGGCAGCAAATGATACATCAACAGAGGCATATCAACTGCTGTTGAAAACGCTGGCTGGAGGGAACCAAACAGCAAAAGATATTGATGAGCTTAACAGGAAGTGAGTCAGTAATGGAGAGCAGTCTGCTGTCCATTGGGTTGTAGTAGTACAAAGGTTTTTAAACTAACTTGTCATGTCTAAACTTATTTTGGGGAAGAACTTGCTTTTAACCATTGGGTTTCATGCAAGTTCTCTTTTTCAACCAAGTCATTTTTCTCTTCAGCTGGTTAGGTTCAGGAAAAGAAAATCAAGGTTAATTGGATTCTTTGTCTTTTAGGTATAATCAGGCAAAGAACATTTCCCGAGACCTTGAAAAACAGGCCAATAAAGTTCTGGCAGAGGCAGAGGAAGCTGGGAATAAGGCCCTTCAGATCTATGCTAATCTCACCAGTCTACCTGCGGTGGATTCCAGGGGTCTAGAGGTATTTGAGTCAAGCAACACACGCAGTGGGCACATCTACACATGCACTTTATTGCACAGTAAAGCATCACCATCTACACATGTGCCACTGTTAGCACACCCTGGGAAATTATGCAATAATGTACCCATGCAATTTTGCACATAAAAGGCATGACCACACATTACACAATTTTGCATAATTTAACTGCGGCGGACTCTATGCCTCTACCTCCCATGATTTGGTGTCACAGAGCCGCATGACTGGACAGATGTAAGTGCGGAGGGGAGCTCTTGCCTCCAGGAGTGGGAGGTAGGCATGGGATTTGTGGGTGGGCAGGGGTGTGTGTGTGGGTGGGTGTGGGGTTTGTCAGTAGGTATGGGCCATGCCCCATCAGGCCAGCCCAGCCAGCTCAGTGCTTCCACGTGGGGCTTTCAGTACTTTGGTGAGAAACCACATGTGGAGGCACAGAGACAGCCCTGCTTTATGGCGCCCAACTCTGTGCATCCATATGCGGCTTCCCACTGGAGTGTTGGAAGCCCCACGTGGAGGGCTGGTCTGGCCTGGGAGCTGCACACCATCAGGCCAGTTAGGAAGCCGCATCTGGAGGCACAGAATCAAACACCATCAGGGCTGGGCGGGCTCCTGCTTGCCTCCACATACGGCTTCCTCCTGGAGTGCTGGAAGTGCATGTGGAGGCATAGAACCCGCCTGGCCCAATGGTGCACAGCTCCTAGTCTACATGCCATTGGGCCAGGCCAGCCAGCTCCATGCCTCCATGTGGGGCTTCCAGGACTCTAGCAGGAAGCTGTGCATGGAGGTATGGAGCCCGCCCAGCCTGAAGGCATGCAGCTCCTACCTGCAGTGCCACAAGCCCCATTTGCCGGCACAGAGCCAGCCCGGTCTGGCTTTAAGGCACGTGCCAGCAGGCCAGGTCAACTCCATGCCAGCACATTTAGGCCCTGGGACTCAGCCAGAGGTGCACGCCGCCATGGGCTCTGCCTGCTGCAGCCATGAGCACTCCAAGGGCCCACTGCCTGCTGCTGCTGAGCTGGCAGTGGTTGGGCCTGTGCACCATGGGGGAGAGGGGAGTGTATGGTATGGGGGCCCACACCCACCTACAGACTCCCCACACACACCCACACCCTTTCACAATCCCCTCACAAACCCCACACACTCCCATACCTACACCCCTTCATAATCCCCCACAAACCCCACATCTGCCAACAAATCTCTCTCACACACACACACACACACACACACACACACACACCCCTTCACAACCTCCACACATACTGTCATACCCACACCCCTTCATAATCCCCCCTACAAGCTGCACTTTGCCATACTCACAGGCCTCACACACACCCACACCCCTTCACAGCCCACCCACACCCATCCACAAACCCCACACATACACCCCCCAACACCTTCACAAATCCCACCCTACACACACCCCATCCCCAACCGTACAAAGTACTTACATGTAATGCTAAAGGAGGTTTGAAAAGTGCTATATTTAGTTTAATTTGTTAACAAAATTAAAAAGGTAATTCATTTTGCATAATTTTGAATTTTTCTGTACATAATTCCCTGGAGTGTATATTAGGGCACAGTAGATTAATTAAGGTGGCAAGTCTTACTCAGTGTAATAATAAATTGCTGATGCCTTGTTTAATGCTTTGCTAACACCTCTGTGCTTCAGAAAAATGCTATGGGGTCTCTGTCTACTTAAGACCTTAGTATTTTGACATTCCTGAAAGACTGACATGTAGAGAATTATAATTTCCTATTTGTCCTAGTCGGTCTTTTTGCTATACATAAACATTTCTAGGTGAATAAGTATTTCAAGCCCAGTGCTGAGCCCATTAAACTGTTTCCCCTCCTACAGCCACCGTACTAAAGTTAGCTTGAAGCTCTTTCATATGGACTCTTCCTATCTTTGGCTTATATCACACTCAGTACAGGGTGACACTGATCCCATTCTGATCATCAAACTGTAGTACAAATTGGCAAAAAGAGTAGTAGTGAAATGTTAGTAATTCTACTGCAACATCTGCCTGCTTTCATGCTCAAGAAAGCACACAGGGTTTCTTGTCTCCCTGTTTCATAGGTTTTATTAAGTTCACAGAGCTGTGTTTTTGTTTTTTTATTTTCACATGCAGAATGAGGCAAATAAGATCAAGAAGGAAGCAGAGGAGCTGGATCAGCTAATTGACAGGAAGTTGAAGGACTATGAAGATTTGAGAGAGGATATGAAAGGGAAGGAACTGGAAGTGAAGAACCTCTTAGAGAAAGGAAAAACTGAGCAACAGGTAAGTTCACTTATTGAGTGTAGGCTCTTGTGTCTAGAAACAACTCTGAGGAAAAAACTTCCTGACCCAGAACCTAGAGCTTTAGCTGTGGTATTTGGTCATTGGCATTGAGGTGAGAGGGGCCTGAAGAACAGGTTCTGGTGGCTGGTTGCATAGAATGGTCTTCAGAAACTTCTGTACTGGCAAAGTTCTTGCAGGAGAGCAAGGAACTGTCACCTTCTGTGGTGTGGGTAACACCTCTCTTATTGCATTGCACCTCAGTTATATTAAATGGCTGCAGTCATTAGCAATGAACACCATTTGGTATTGGGCTGGTATTTGCTGGGCTACCCCAGTGCTCCATTTTTTAACGTGGCTTATTCTCTAGAGGGGCTGAAAATATACTTACCCATATTATATCTCTCTAGACTGCAGACCAGCTCTTGGCCCGAGCAGATGCTGCCAAAGCTCTGGCTGAAGAAGCTGCCAAGAAGGGCAATAACACGCTACAAGAGGCCAACAACATTCTCAGCAACCTGAGAGGTATGAGAATGGACAGCTAGGGAGAGTGAATGGCTTGAATAACAATAGAGTTAAATAGTTTAAAGTATTTGCCCAAAGTTTTAATTCAGTAAAATAATTTTTAGTAACCATAAAGCTATCTTGCTGGACTCCCCTTTCTGTGCATCATCACAGTGCATTCTGTATATGGAGCCTTACGCCTTTCTGCTCAACAGTAATTGTCATTAGCATACAGTGGCAAGCAATGTTTGAAGGCTTAAAGCATTACTGATCCTAGAAGGGAGAAAACCAGTAATAAACCTTGTGGGATTTGTGTATCCTGCCGTGAACATTGTCATGGCAGCCTGTGGACCAAGTCAGTCCCTGGTAAATACCTTTAATATTGTTAGGGTCTGTCTCTCCGGTAACAGAAACCATGAGTTTCCTTTTTCTCCCTCCAATTTTAAAGTAACATAGACTAAGTTGCTTGACTTTTGGATACTTATCAGGCCAAACAAACTCCACCAGGTCTTTTCTAGAACAGGAAACAAAACAGTGTTTTCATCTTTATCAGATTTCGATAAGCGTGTGAACGATAACAAGACAGCAGCTGAGGAGGCATTGAAAAAGATTCCTGCCATTACCCAGACCATTGCTGAAGCCAACAATAAAACACGGCAAGCAGAGCTAGCACTTGGTAATGCTGCTGCTGATGCCAGGGAAGCCAAGAACAAAGCTGATGATGCTGAGAAAATTGCTAATTCTGTCCAGAAGGTGAGTCCTTAAAAAGGGCTCCTGAATCAGTCGTCTTGAAGCTTGTTCCACAGTTTCTTATTGAGAATATGTGCTCTCTGACATACTGAGATGTGTTAAACCCATAGAAAACTGTCATGGCTTTTGTACCCACCCTGCTGTGTGCCGTCAGAGAGTGTTCTAAATATGTGTAAATATGCTTCAGAATTGTTTGCTGGAGCATATATCCCATCAAGGGATGTCACATGCCATGGAAAAACTTCGTTTGGCATCTTATGGGAGAAAGTAGAAGAATTTTTGTGTTTCCTGTGTGATCCACCCTTTTAGAAACCCTGTTTTATATTGATCTTAGAATGCTGCCAGCACAAAATCTGATGCCGACAAGGCTTTCTCTGATGTGACAGAATTGGCCAGAGAAGTAGATGACATGATGAAACAGCTTCAAGATGCAGAGAAAGAGCTGAAGAGGAAGCAGGAAGATGCCAACCAGGATATGATGATGGCAGGGATGGTGAGTTGTTATTCTGGGAGGTGGATGCAAAGGTTGGCACAGTGGGATGGAGAGAATCTAGATTTCAGCCTTAATAAGAGTGAATTTATTGGCCCTGATATTCTTGGATTTTATCTGCAGCCCCATTGCAGATACAGTATTAGGTTTGGGTCTCAAGTTCAGTTAGTTATTTTCTCTAAATTTTAAAAAGGGTTGAAAAAAGTTAAAATTAAATACGCCTAGTAACCTTAACTGTAGCAGCTTTGCTATATAACTTTACCATCTGAGAGGCAGTTTTCTATAACCTAAAACTTACCCTGTCTTCAAATGAAAGACTGATCGCATTCTAATAGACTCTGTTCTTTGACATTTTCCATCAGAATCCTCCTCAGTTACAGATTTTTTTTTCATCATTGGAAACTGGTAATTTGTGTTTTGTCCAGCTCTCTCTCTCTGCTCACACATTAGAGCTGTGATACAGATCTAAAACAAAAACCATGGAAGAAAACTGGGTGTTGGGCTTATTACACTAAAGAGAGAAGCCAGGGATGGAATAGTGTTGTAGTGGCATGAAATTAGCTCTTTGGGTTGTCCTTCGTCAAATTCTATGTTCTGAGTAGGGACACTGTGCTGAGGTAGCGGCAAATAAATTAGAATTATGACTGCTGTAGCATTATTGCATGGAGTCATACCTTTTTTCCCCCCTAAAGGCTTCACAGGCTGCCCAAGAGGCAGAAGACAATGCAAGAAAAGCAAAGAACTCTGTGAATAACTTGCTTACCATCATTAATGAACTTCTGGATCAACTAGGTATGTATTTACTGCTCATCTGTCCTCACTTCCAGAAGCGTTCTACTCACTTTGTGTGTTTTTGTTCTTCAGAACGTGGTGTTGCCTGACTGATGCTAGAAAGCACAATTTCTCTAGGTGACCTGTTGCAGTGCTTGACCACCCTCGTACTCAGAAAGTTCCTTCTAATGTCTGATCTATGAACAGAGTGTTTTTGGGTTCAAGTTTAAAGTAAAATGAAGCTGTGAGGCGGCTTTCTTTTGAAGCAGTCATCAGCAGCGTTTTTAGCTGGTAGACGAGAATAACCCAGCTCAGATCTGATGTAGGCTGGTATTAGCGCTAAGCCACCAGCACCACCGCTGCTGCTGCTTTCCCCTCACTGTCTGGCCACAGGTTTGGGCAAAAGATCCCCACTGCTGAGCTGGGACACAGGCAAGCCACTGCTGCCAAAGTCCCCTACTGAGAATATCACCAAAGCCATCCAACACCCTGGGTTGAATCTGTTGGTTGTAGATTGCCAAACCCTGTTCAAAACATAATATGACTTCATTTATTTTTTTAAGCAAAGTTTTGGGGTTTGGGTGGGTGTTTGTTTTTTTTTTCTGTCTTATAGAACTCTGTCCTTCCAGGCACTGTCCGTGACAGGTTATTGGAAGAATGTTTATTCAAAATAATTGCTGTGCATTTTAAAATTCAAGTTCAGTTGCATCCCAAAACTTGAACAATATTTAGTAAATTCCTACACGGTGAGATAAGCATTGCATATTTAATAGAAGAAAATCAACTGTTTAATAGACAGCTGTAATTCATTCATGTTGATTTGAATAGCCTGATAAGTTATAAAAGCAGAGTTTGTCAAGAACCCCCAAAATGAAATTTATGGCCTTTCATTATTACATTATATTTAAAAAGCCTTAATTGAAAATAAGTAAAAAACGGCTGAGGATCTGGCCTAAAATGTATACTTCAACTCAGGAAGTACAGACTAGATAATATATCTTTGATTTTCATTTGTGTGGATAACAGCTCAGCAGGAGTGTTTCATTTACAAATTTAGTGGAACCCATTTACGCTGCAATTCAACTCTGTGAAGTCCACGTCTGCTCTGTTTCATTGCATTGCAGCCGGCAGTGGACAGTTCTGTTAGTGATACTGCTCTGTGGGAAAAAAATACTTTGCTGTGACAGTATTTCCACTATATCAGTCTATAATTGTTTTATTGTATGTATGAAATGTCTTGAGAGTAGGCAGTAGCTTGGTGAAGAGCGTTTAGTGGAATTCACTATGTTTCTTCTTTTACCAGGACAACTGGACACAGTGGACTTGAATAAACTGAATGAGATTGAGGGTACACTGAACAGTGCCAAAGATCAGATGAAAGATAGTGAGCTTGACCGAAAAGTGTCTTTCCTGGAGAAGGAAGCCAGGAAGCAAGACGATGCCATTCAGGCTTACAACAGGGACATTGAAGAAATCCTGAAAGACATTAACAACCTGGAAGACATTAAGAAGACATTGCCATCTGGTTGTTTCAACACCCCGTCCATTGAAAAACCCTAAGGGTCTGCTGGGGGTGGGGGGAGATTTCCCCTAGTGACTGGTGGAGCAGTTGTGTGGCTATGGAGTGCCTTAACATACAAATTACCTTCTTCAAATCCCCGACTCTCTGCTGCTCGCAGTTGCTGTTTTCTTTCCAAGTTAGGAAAAGTTGCGAAGTTTTAAAGAGAAGCAAATTAAAATATCCATCTTTGGGCATCAAAGGGTTTTTTATAAATTCTGTCTTCCTGAACACTCCACCCTCACCTCTGTCTTTCTCATTCCCCTTTGATTTGCACAAGGATGTGAAATGTTCAGGACTGTTTGTACAGTGGTTCAGAAATAACCATGTGAACTGGGGTACAGTAAGGCAAAATTAGCTCTTGCTTCTCTCCTCTTCCTCCACTCCCCCCACAACCACTGAAGCCTCCTCAGTCCCAGAGCTCTGTTTCTATGAAGGAAGGGGTTGGCTACCAAAGTATTATTGTAACGGCCAGTATAGCTGCACTCAAAGAACATTAATCCCCTTCCCCAAGTTCTAATTGTGTTTTTAAAAAATCCTGCAAAAATTAGTGGCCAATCAAAAATTTTGGTAGCCATCTGCCAAACTTTTTAGCATCTTTCTTGAGTGCAATATATCCCTCTGCTGAGAAAGATAGTCTTTGAGTAGAGCTTTTGTGAGGGAAAGGAGGTGGAGTGGTGAGAGGTCTTCACAACACTGCTGTTAGCCTTCAAAGCAGAAATGTTGTCTCAAGTCTGTGAACAGCTGCCTAGTCTAATTTTCCAGGTCAGGAAGCCTGCAAATGATCAGCTCTCTTCTCATCAGTAAATGTCACTAAGGAATTTCCAGAGGACCATTCCAGGGATAGAATGATTAATGGAGACAGGCCTTTAAGAATTAAAAAAAAAACAAACCTAATAAGATCTTTTTGAAGAAGAATACAGCCACCCAAAGAGCTGCTACCAGTGGGTCTGTCTGAACTTGAAGTTAATATCTGCAGATGGAAAACCGGCTTTAAAGACAGGGATACAGGGGGTAGTCTCCTCAACTTCTGTCTGTGAGGGAATGGGGTTTTTTCACTACAGTTTCATGATTGCCTTTGTCAGCTGTTTATCTGATCAAGAGCCAAAACTTACACTTTGCCTCATTTTCTTGCTGATCCTCCAGTCTTCTTAAAACATTGCAGCACAAATTGTTCAGGCCAACCTCTGGTGGCAATTACCCTGCACTCACAGTATTTCATGTAGCTGCCACTGCCACCTCTTTAGACCTTCTGTCCAAGTTGATGACTCCACTCCCTCCTGGTTAACTTTCCGCATAGGATTGAGAAAGGGGAGGGGGATCTTTCACTCCTCTCTTCCTCCTTCATCTGAGGAAGTAGCAGCCTCTGCAGTTTTTCTTACTAGCTCAGTCTGATGTTCCCCCCACCCCTTTTTGAGATCCATATATATCTATCCTTAAACACTATGCAACTTTGTACGTTTGCGTAGCGGGGAAGAAATTATCTGACACACACTGGTGCTATTAATTATTTCAAATTTATATTTTTGTGTGAATGTGGGTTTTTTGTTGTTTTGTGTTTGTTTGTTTATCATGATTATAGAGTGAGGAAGTCTATCTTTTTGTGTGTGTGTGTAAATATACTCAGCCCTATCTCCAGAGTGGCACCGTCTGTTCCTTTACCTGCTTCCTTTTATCCATCACGGCACATGCACCATATAGCTCTTCCATTTATTATTCCTTCAGGGTTAGGTATTTCTTTGGCTCAGGCTCCTACTCTTTTTCCCTCCTCCACGTTTGCAGTATCTATATCCTGTGGTATTAACACAAACCTGTTTGCCTGTATATGCAGTCCGGTGATGGGACATGTCGACCTCCCTTCAAAAGCCAGTACCAGATGTCCAAAGCATTCTGAAGTGTGTAGTTCATAGGAACTAGTTATGTTCTATCTCTGACTTTTGTGAAGGATGTCATGCTGATTTTTGGATGGCTGTGGGTTTACATCTGGACATCTGGGAGGCATAGCACTATTTCCAACCCAAGTAAAGGGTGTGAGGGCTGCAACTGTGACCTTTCTGCATAATACGCCCTTTTGCGAGAAACGAGAATTCAGTGTGAGGCTCAATTACAGCATTGGGGTTGTGCTGCCAGGCAGGAGAAAGTGATTCCCACCAGCCTGTAGTATACTAAACAGCAGCGTTGGAGGAGGGTCGCCTTGCCCATCACACTTGTGAAACTCTCACATCAGTATTTCTGCTGGCTGCTCTGGTCACGTGGGTGTATCCTAACCATGTTGCCTCTGTGCCAAGGCTGGGGAAAGAACAGGCACAAAGATGCATGCACCCCCTGGCTGACCTCAGGCCTAAGGTTTCCTGCTTTTCCCTTTGTCTTAAGCATTTTTTTAACAAAATTTTTATTTTTAAATAAAAGATCTTTATAAACAATTTCTTAATACACTACTGCATTATGGCCATTATTGCATTGTATAGGTCCAGTTATTTCTTTGAGTAATGTGATGACAAGACAGCTGCTGGTAGAATGCTGGGTGTCACAGGGAACCCATGGCAGTTCCCTTCTCATTTTATTCCCAACTGTGGCCCCCTCAGTATGTGCCTTCACTTCAGCTTTTGCCTTAATCTGTGGTCTTGCTGTCTGGGGCGGTGAACAAAATGCAACACTTGCAGTTTTTTATGTATAAAACAGTATTTCTTATTTATAATAAAGTCTGAATATTTGTAACCCCTTATACCAGGGTTTTCTTTGAGTGTTGCTTTATTTGGCAGGGAATGAAAAATGACTTGGTTGTAAGGTTTGCCTCTTGGTGACTAAAGAACCAATGCCATGATGGTTACAGTCCCCTTCTTCTGGAATTATTTGGGTTGAGATTTGGAGAGAGAGGTCTCAATTTACATCCTTCTCTTGGAATTTAGGAAAGCAAGGTAAGAAATATGCAAAAAGAGTCCCGCCATGTCTCTAGGAGGCGACAGACTAATACCAGCTTTCTTGGAGAGTTAATAGACAATAGTTGCCTGTTCAGTTATACTATCTGCCTTCAGCGGCTCCCTGCCTTGTTTAATATTGGTAGAATCAATACTGTTAATTTGGATTTCACCACCTTTCTAATTGGAGGTTGAGTTCTTGGATCTCAAGGTAGCTTTCTAATGTGAAATGTCTAGCTTTGCTGCTGCTACTTTTTCCCTTCCTCCTCTTCAATTTATGTGCTAACATAGCCTGATGCCCATATAAGGGTAATGAAGGAAGACTATTTTTAAGGATATGTCCTTTTTTTTCAACACAGAACAGTGAAAATACTTTCTTTGCTATTAAGTGCGTCTGAACAAAGAATATAAGTAAAAAATACTTCAACGAATTGCAAAAGGTCACTGTAGTAATGTTTTCGCACTGGGTCCATTAAGAAGCTTTAGTTTCTTTGACTACAAGCTAAGGCGATATGTTGTTGTTTTTCTTTGTACTTTGAAAATAAGTATATATGGTGTTAGCTGACTTGGTTATTAAGCTTATAGAAGGATTGAAGTTTAAGAGGTGTGTTTCTGCATATGCTGAAGGTAAAATGTATTCTGCCTTGCTTAAACTGATGGAAGAAGAAATGGCTCTGTACTGAATCTTCTGAGTAAAAAATGGAATTTAGTATCCACATTTAAGCTTTGTGTTATAAGAGAACCCAATGAGCTTGGCATTCCCAGGACTGTTCCAGTGGACTTCCCTCCCTCACCATGAACTTCAGCTATGCAAAGGAAACCTGTGTTCTGTCTTCCCACTTTCTCATTTTATTACTAACTTGCTTGTAGTTTGGGTCAGAAGGGACATATAATCATCTGGTATAACGTACCGTATAACACAGAGCACAAAACATCATCCAGCAATCCAAATCAAATCTTCCAGCTATTGGTTAGTGCACTACATTGCATCTTTTACCGAGACATCCTGTGACAAGAATCTGCCACAATCTCTTGGTAAGTTGTTTTCAAGAGTTAATTACCTTTATTGTTTGAATTGTGTTGAGCTTCACACTTGCTGTTAGAATTTGCCTTAATTCCTAGACCTCATCCAGACCAGGATTTTATTGCGATACCAGTGTGTATTATCTAAAGGGCTAACAAATGCATTTTTAAAGTCTAATGTAGATGAGGCATCCTGCCTTCAAAGGTAGAGTTGAACAGGTTAAGTTTCATGCCATGGCTCTACTTGACTTCTAAAGCTGTGTTAATGTGTGCTAACTAACTTCATGCCCTGAAAGCCTAACCTCAAGATGTGGGTCCAAAATCTGCTAGAAAAGGGGTGGCCAACCTGCAGCATGGGTGCCACGAGTGGCATGGGCAGTTTCTGTGTGGGCGTGCAGAAGATTGGTGAAGGAACCAGCAGTATGGTGGCAGATAGGGCAAGCAGCATGGGGAAGGAAGCAGAAAGCAGAGCAGCAGATTAGGCAGGGGAAGGGAATTGGAATGCCACTTGGGGAGAGCGCAGGGCTAATTTGTGGCACACCTGCCAACCAGGTTTGCCCCCACTCTGCTAGAGAAATTACTCTCAAATGACTTTTGTTTACTGTTTAGAAGCACAAGTTCAGTCAAGAATGAGGAGAGGCTAGCATGGATCACTCTTGCAAAATATGCTGGCTTGCAGACATGGTTGTTTATGAGCAAACATGCAGTAAAGTCTGTCTGTGGTTGTAGTTGATTACAAGTAATCATGATTGTATACCACTACTTATAATCATAATCATATACCACTACAAGTAATTGTAATGTAATTTTAATGGCTTATGATCAGAGGCTTGTCCTGGCAACAGTGCTGATCTTGCATGGACCATTCATCTGAAGACAGTGTCTGCTTTCTGTGTATTCCAGATGCTGAGAATAAGAAATGTGTCTATCCTCTTTTCAACGTCCAGACTGCAGGAGCAAGGGCCAGGTCCTCGGCTCGCATAATTATGCTGAGCTCCACTAGCTGTCACAACGCGATGCCAGTCTGCCACAGAAGAGAATCTGTCCCAAGTGTCTGACCTGTCACTTGCAGAAAGACTTTCCTGAGGATCTTGTTTAGGTCTCCACATGGGAGGGTGCAGTTACTTCCCTTTTATGCCTTAGAGCAGGGGTTGGCAACGTTTTTGGGCAGAGTGCCAAAACACCTGCAACTTCAGCTTGTAAGATATTGGCATGCCGGGAATAGATGACAGGGGAACCATGAAGGGTCTGATCCTTGTGTTCTGGCAGTGCAGCCCTGGCCCCTTCCCCACCGCCCACCCCAGATACATGTGCCAAGCAAAATGCATTTGCATGTTGCATTCTGGCACCCATGCAGAGGATTGCCTACACCTGCCTTAGAGCAATAATTCAATAACACTTTCTTAGTATTGGCAAGGTGGTGGTTCCTCAGTGTTCCCTACGTAGTTTGGGCTGTTTTGTGACTTCCTTCCTTTTCGTATCCTTGTCCTTGTGACAAGGTATTTAGCAGAATTTGCAGAACCACTGGAATCTGACATGGCCGTGCTGTGAGCGGTTCTGCTGTGGCCTCGAACTTGTGACCTTCTGGGGTGTTGACCATGTGGTTGACTAAACTGGCTTAATCCTGAGGATTTTCCACCATTCTGTCACTTGCATACCAGTCAGCTCCTTCCAGCAGAGAGAGAATACTGTCTGAGTTTATATTGACAGCATTTCTGTCAATCTCATCACATCCTGAAGGAAGTCGTTTTTACAATATTCGCACGGTTTTGTCTGGCAGCCTCCCACCTCCCCTAGAAAATCAATAACCTATTTCATTTGATAGTCTTTGCCAAAAGCCCTGAGAATACGGTGTACAACTCTTACAGGTCTATGGTCTTTCCAAGCAAAAACTGTGATGGTCTATTCACAAAATACTGCAGGGGTGGCCAATCTGTGGCGTGGGCACAGTGCCGCGCGGGGGGGCGACTGCCCTGGGCACTGAAGTGAAGGGGCACCAACAGGTGCTGCCCAGCCGGGGCGGGATGCAGGACAGCCGCAAGCGGCTTGTTTAGGGGGGCATGGGGATGGGGGAAGGGTGGCTCCTGCTGCTGTGTGTGCTCCTGGACAAGCGGGGAGGAGGTGGGGGGCGACGTGCCCCCAAATGGGGGGCATGGGGATGGGGGAAGGGTGGCTCCTGCTGCTGTGTGTGCTCCTGGACAAGCGGGGAGGAGGTGGGGGGCGACGTGCCCCCAAATGGGGGGCATGGGGATGGGGGAAGGGTGGCTCCTGCTGCTGTGTGTGCTCCTGGACAAGCGGGGAGGAGGCGGGGGGGCACGTGCCCCCAAATCTGTGCCCGGGGGTGAGGGAGGGCTGCTGCTATGGGCTTTGTCCTGGGTGCCAAACTTCCTTGCCACAGTACTTCATGGGCAGCTTCTCTGTGTGTGTGTCACACAGCAGACAGGACAGGGGACAGGCTGAACAGCAGCAGATGAGACAGAGCAGAAAGCAAAGCAGCATATCAGGCAGAGAGTACAGGGCAAGCAACACTGCTGAATAGCAGCTTGGGTAAGGAAAAGGGATTGGAGTGGCACTTGGAAAGGGTGTAGGCTAACTTGTGGCACGTTTGCCAGAAAGATTGGCCCCCACTGATGTACTGTGAGGAGTCTGCTGCCGCCTTCTCCCAGCTGAAGGGTGGGTGTCTCTGGGAGCCCTTTGATGCTGTAGGCTATGAAAGGAGATGCCTTGAGAATAATCAAGTTACCAGGCTGTTGCTTCCTCAATTTGCTTAATGCAGCAATGGAGCTTGTCTTGTGGGAACCACCAACCAATCCGGAGAAGAGTTAATGTGGGAATTGGAGGCAGGGAAGAGGGGGAGGATGAGAGCAAAGAAATAAGCGGTACTAAATATGCAACAATCCTTACAAGGCCCTCACTGGCCAGTATGACTGATAAAAGCAGAGGGAGACTTGGCTGTTGCTCTCATCTCCTCCCCCCACCCCTTTCCCCCCTCCCTTCTATCTTTCTCTCTCTTTCTCCCCCACCCAGCATGCAGTGAGCTTTGCATCACTTGGGAAGTGGAGGGCTCATGATACCACTGGCCATATGCTCTGAAATGCCATCATTTCTTTGCTTGCTATGGTAACTGGCACTGAACTGTTTCTTCTTTCCTCCCCAGAACCATCTTTACCCTGCTATTTAACTTTGTGCTTTCTGGAACCTGCCAAGTTTTCCCACTGAAGCCTATGAGCCATGTAAATCCTGCCACACAGCTCTTCTTGAGGAGATAATATATCTGCTGCTTGGGAATAGTCAATAGTCATGGTTGAGACAGAGCTCACATTGCAAGCCTGTTAGCAGCCACCGCTCTGAAGATGCTCATGCTGTCGGCTTAGCTCGTGCTGCTAATGTCTTTGCTCTCTTTGACGGGCACTGCTGTGAAGGCACCATAGGGGACAACCAGCTCCAGCAGGGGGGAGGATGGCATGATTTAAAGATCCCTAACCTCTGTGATTCCATGAATGGCTTGAGGCTGGATTTTCTAAATGGTGCTGTTTTATTAATTATTTATGCAGCCTCATAAATATGCGCAGCTCTTCAGGCAAATAAAAACTGTCCCTTCCCTGAACGGGTTTCTGTCTGTATCCAGACAGAGTAGCCATTGTTGGAGATATGGGCCAAGGAGCAGGCAGCACAGGGAGGGTTGGAAAGGCAAGCTTTGTTTTTCCCAGCCCCGCACTCATTGCATGCTATTCTGGTACTCCATTGCAACTGAAGACTGCTTTCAACTGCTTAACCCCCAACC